GTAAATTAAAAATAAATTCAAGCAATCCATTCATTTTCGTTTTTAAAAAATTCAAATTTAATGATTCTCGTTGGCATAAGAAGGCATTATAAATACAATTCCAACAGATGGCGTTGCTTTTGGTTGGTGCCTCTGCTAGACTGTTGCTTGTGGCTGTCGCTAGATGGCGTATGCTTTTTGCAAAGCTGACTTGATTAAAGATTTTTTTAAATTTAAGATAAATTATATAAGACAAGGATACAAAGATAGCGTACTACAAAAACAATTTGAATTCGAAGAGTCAGATAGTATATTTCAATTAATGAACAATAAAAATAAAAAATAATAAAAACTTGAATAACATGTCATATTAAAAGTTTTAAGTGCAGTAAGAAAACTTGATGCTTTCAGCTCTGCTTTAAAATAGTTGTTAATTCATTTTTATAATTATTTATTGTTTTCAATAATATTTTAAGACTTGCACAAATATTTTTAATACTAGTTAAATTATTTATGTAGCCAGCTTTTATTAAAGTTAGAAAAAGTATTTTTTAAATTTAAAAATTTATTTAAGACAAGCAAATAATTTATTATTTACTGCTGTATACTTATTTAGTTAGCTTTAATAAGGGTTTAAAAATGTTGTTTAAATATTATTTTCAGTTTTTATTTGAAACTGTTATAAAACAATTTCTTAAAAATACATTTTTTGTTGATTATACGGATACATACATACATAAATATGGAACTATAATGCAGCCAATTTTATTCCGTTGTAAACTAATGCACACAATGCGGTTAAATTTAAGAATCTTTTAATAAACTAGACCTCTAATGGATTATTATTGCTGCTGCTGCTGCTTGCCAACAATTTGCTGCCACTCGCCCGAGTGGCAGTCTGCCGCTTGGGCTTGGACTTAAATTTAATAAAAGCCGCGCTGGCATTGCCAACGCAAAGCAAAGCAACAAGCCAGCAGAAAAGCAATTGAGGGGCCACTTTTATCATCAAATGATTTTCTTCAGCTAAGCTGGGCACAATTTTCACGGTGACGTCAGCGCTGCAGTTGCTCCAGACGCCGAGTCACGTCAGCTGCATGTGCAGAGCGAGCGAGTGTGCGGCAGTGTGTGTGTGTGTGTGCGGCTGTGTGTGCAGCGGTAATCTATCATAATTTTTATATCCTAAAATCCCATTTTCGTATTAGAGCAAAAATGTCTGCGAGCAAATATAATAAAATGGCCAACACATCGACGTGGACAGCAGGCGCTGGGGCACGGCTAGGGGTTGGAGTAGGGGGCGCGGTTCAGGCGCAGGCCAAGCTGCACACTTATGCTGCTTGTCAAAGGATAACACACACACACACACTCGCACACACAGACTAGCGGACATGCCATGCCAACAGTATGAAATTCCAGCCAAGCGCTTGATTTCTCTCACATTTTCGTAAGAATTTTTTTTGCACCCTTTCTAAAACTTGTGTGTGTAGTGTGTATAGTATTCGGCCTTTGTGTTGGTCTCAGTGTGTGTGTGTGTGTGTGTGTGTTTGGCTTAGCTTCACTTGCCGCGTTTTATTTCTCAATGCCCTGGCTTTGGATAGCACAAAAACGTTCAAATAGCCAACAATTTTATGAGTCTCGCACACACAGGATCTCACTTGCTGCGGAAATGGCAGTAAGGACTTTCGATATTGTTTTTGTTGTTGTTGTTTGAGCGCATCTACTGCATTGTCCTTGCTTCATAGCGGGCATAGCAACAATATACGAAACACACACCGGCACACACACACACACACGCACACACAGACACACAGACAAACGCAAGTTCAATATGGTTAGTTCTTGATAATTGAAAAGCTTTCCGTACATGTTTGCGCCTATCTATTATAAATTTAATTCTGAGTATTTTATTTTATTTAATAAAGCAAACAAATTGCTGCGGATTCAGCAAGTCAATATTTTATATTTAAATTAAATTCGGTAAACGCAAACAGGCAGCAGAACGACTTGAGTATACTCCGTAAATAGTTAAAAGAGTAGTCGAAAGTTTAAGTTCAATATAAACAGCTTTCGACTAGAAAGAAATTTGAGCTTTAAGTTCTGACTATTTCATAGAACCTTTAATTAAAACCACGCCCAAATCTTTCAAGAGCTTTGAAAAAGCTTTTGGATTTAATTCAGTTTGTTTTTTACGGCCATAAAGTAGAGATCAAGTTTAAAATAATTTAAAAATGTATCTTAATAGCTTTAAATGCTGCCTATTTCAAAGAATATTTACATTAAAGAGCTTTGATTTTAATTCAGTTTGTTTGATGTAGCAGAGAGAAGTAGAGTACATTAAAGATTAGATTAGAGAATTAGCTGATAAATAATTCAAAAATTGATCTTAAGAGCATTAAGAGCTTAAAGTGCGGCCCATTTCGTTGAATTTAAACACAAATAAAGCTGTCAAGAGCTTTGTAAGCTGTATTAGAGCTTTAAATTGAATTAAGTTCTTATGATAGTTAATCAAAAAGCTACAGCTTTAATTTCGCCTTAAAAGCTTTGATTATTGCGAAGTAACTGTCTTATATACCCCACTCAATGGTAGTTAAGCCGCAAAAGCTTCACTCTGGCATGTAATTAATTTTTAAATAATAATAATACAAAATGCAGTCAATAAATAAAAAATGCAGCATGTTGCCCAACAACAAAAACAGCTATAGATGCGGCGGCGTTTGCCTTAAATTCGAGCTTTGAATACAATGAAAAAAAAAACAACGTTCCCTGTTTAAACCGCTTAAAAATTGCATCGAAGTATCGTTGGATGTTAATTTTAACCTGCTGCCTGCTGCGCTTGTGTCATTGGCCCCACAATATATGCACAAATAAAAGTCTGAGATCCTTGCTTGAGCTGTTGCGTAGTGCGGTAATAATTTAACGAGTGAAGTTCCTTCGAGTAAAGTTTGGTTAAAGGTATATGTGTGTGTAGCTGAAAGGTGTATCACATGATTGCGTATATATGTGCAGAGGATAAACTCTTTGTGAAAATTAAAAGATACATATATTCCTATGAAAGCTCCAAATCTTTTTAAAGCATACAGGCTCAAACTTTGATTTCCAATTTATTTTGTTATTATGAGACGAATCCTAATTAAAAAGAAGTTGATTGAGCTGATGTCAATTTTTCTAAATATGAGAAGAAAAGATATTGAGAAATAAGCATGCAATTTAATATTATTAATTGTGAGATGCAAAAATAATCAGAAATTGAACTACCCTCAATGTAAACTTAAGAGTTTTATTTTTTTTTTGCAAGTCTAGACAATAACTTAACAAATTTATATTTAAACAAGAGCAAGAGTTCAAGTTTTTGCCAACTATTACCATATTATCTTTCGGGTGATGCAACAGTTTGCATGCGATCGCCATACTATCTTCCTGGCGATAGGCGTTCTGCTAGAACCCTAAGGTTTTAAGGTTAAGAATTTCATGGGCTGCTCTTAATGAAATCTCTTGTTGTATTGAGTGTTTGCTTCAATAAATAATTTGTAAATCCGCTACAATTGATGAAACTGACAACAACAACAGCAAAACAGCAACAACAACTACAGAAGCATCTGAAACAAAAGGCGTTCAAGGCAACAACAATAAATTTAATTAAAAGTTTTAACAAGCTTTGGTTGATTTCACTTTTGTCAGCTTCACAGCTGGGGACAGCTTTAATTTCGGAGTCGTTCGGAATGCTGCTATTCAGCGAACTTCATATCTACCTATTATGTCGTCTCCCCTACCCACCCACGGCTCTCGGCCCAGCCCACACCACCGCAGCGTCTACCAGTCACGTTGATGGCAGCGCTTCATATTTGATATTAATTAAAAAGTTTCCACTGTCGCGTGGGGCGCTTTAAACAAATTGTCAGAGCTGACGAACCAGCAAGAAACCTATAATTTTTGCTCTCTCTTTCTTTCTTTCTCTCTCTCTTGCTCTCTTTGAAAACTCGTCTTCGGCCAACCTGATGAAAAATCAAATACAATGTCAGCCTCATGCTGTCCATTTTTACATGTGTGTAACTGTTTGTGTGTGTGTCTGTATATATATATATATATATATATATATATATGTGTGACTTTGTGTGCTGCCATGTTGCTCTGCCGTCAAACTTACAGCAACGCCGGCGACATCTGCTAATGTCACATCGGTGCCAGGTATCAAAAAATGCATGCTTTTCATACCCTGTTCAGGAATTGATAAGGGTATCTAGGCAGTCATTGTTAGTGCCTATGAAGGATACAAGCGATCGGCTTTAAAACGAAATATTTATTAAAAAACAGGCTTAGTTTTGTAAATACTTTTTGGCCACGCCCACTAGCAGTCAGACGATATATATATGTATATATTTCCATATGTTCCGCACAGCTTAAAAAATTGGGAGATCAAATGAAGCAGGGCGCTTACATGTTGCCCTATAATAGCGGGCCACGAATAGTAATTTTGCCACGCCCATTCACGCCCACACAAATGGAATGTTTCACCCAATAATTTGTTAGTAAAGTCACAGTTTGAAGCTGATGCGGGGCTACAGTTGGGAGTTTGTCGGCTAATCTAATCTAAAAGTTGATATCCCTTATCCTAAAAAGTATTTGATTAATTTGTCTATATATAATATAATTCATCAATTTATATGTTTACACATAAAACTATTTTTCTAGTCTGACTGTCCATAATTTACGCGCATGCAACTTATAACATGTATTTCCATCAAAGAGAAGTGGATTTTGCAAAAAGAGCGAATATAATATAAACTGCAAAAAGTTTGGAATACGTATCAAATTGATTTTCATTAGGGTCCTTGATAATGAGTTTAAGGCAAAAAGCTTGCCAGTCTAGTCTATAACCACCTAAAGTTCCATCCTCTTTTTTCACTGCAAAGCGTGAATTTTAGGTAAATGATTTTCACAAAGATATATAAAGATAGGTCGATCGATTGGTAAACAAAAAGCAACCGACTTTTCCACATTTGAGTGTGGAAAGTCCAGAAATGTAGAAATATATATAGACTTGTGTTTCTTGTCAAGAACAAATATTTGTTCGACTCGTGGACTCGAACCGCTCCTTCTTGGTGTTTGTTAAAGCAATGCCAAGTCCAAAAGGACTTATGGAAAAAAGATGAAGCGAACCTTTAGCTGTTGTACATCTGCGATAAGTGTTTCTATCTGCTTGGGCATTTAATCGCCGGCACCCCCAAGGATAATGTTTGTTTTACTTTTAAAACAAGTTCATATAAATTAACATTTCCGTTTCAACAGAAAGAAAGCTATATTTTTGCCAGCTAATGTAAAACCTGTCGCACAACTCATAATAATTCAGCGGAGAGGGCTCTAGACAAATCCCAAATGCTTCAAGCTAGATGCGTGTCTCTGGCATTTTCAAATCAACGCACGGCGACACGCCTTTCACTTTTCCATTTGCCGCGTGCCAGTCGGTTGACAAGGTTCGAGCTTCAGGCGGGAATCCCAGCAATATCTGCAACTTGAGCTGAGAACTCAACTTTGTGCACAATAAACGGGCGCACTTGACTGAATATGTTAGCGATAATCCTTCGGGGGCTCGTAACATATACGTATCTAAAGAGCTCGGGTAATTGAAGGCGGCTTGGTAAGGCAAGAGGGGGGCGGGGGGTAGAGGGGGAGGTGACAGCATATGCAGGATATGTGGCAAACGTGTGACCTGTCGCATATTTATGTCAAAGTTGCGAACGGCGCTCAAATGTCCGCATCTCGAGCTTTTGCTCTAGCCTCCGTCCTCTTTGAGCCAAGGCAATATCCTTCCTGTGTTTAATAAACTCCGCGACGAGTCGAGGCGATGCTGCCTGCCACAAAAAAAAACTAAAGGTGGTCTCGACGACAATGTGCCCTGTATTCGGCGCTCAGCGGCTGTTCTTTCCATAACAGAAATTGCTTTCTTCAATAACTTCGGTCTTTGTTGTCCGATCTGCTTGCAATTTTGCGGTCACCTTAGCCCAAGACTAAACTGAATATTTGAGAGTTGCGTTAAAACACTTGTTTGAAATTTTGATCGATATTTGGCGATAATTATATAAATTAAAGTTATAAATGTGTAAATGTGCTAAACGAGCTTCTATATAACAAATTTTGTTTGCTGAAATATTGATGGATAATTATCGATATTTTAGAAAGGGGGCAGGAAGGACGGACAAAAGTACAACGCTTTAGATCGTTATCCAGATCAAGATGTTAAATAGATTTCTAATTTATTTTGTTATTACAAATACTATTATTATAATCCTTCTGTCTACTACATACAATTGCACAAAACTAATAAGGCCTTTCTTTCGGGCATTTTCAATGGGCACAGGGTATTAAAAGGCGGCCAAAACTTTGTCGATATTTATCGAATTCCATAGCCTCCGGTTAAATGTTTGTCGGTTTGGCTTGCGCGTGTGTTTGCATTTGCATTTGGCGGGTGTGGAGGTGTGCCTGAGCGTGTGTGTGTGTGTGTGTGTATGTGTGTGGGCAACCGCTGCTTTGGCAAGGCCTCAAGCAGAGGGGAACTCAAATGTTTCCTGGGTTGAGTTTATGGCATGTACTGAGGCATGTTTTAAGTGGTTTTACAGGACGCGCCTCATTGCGTCTTGCAATCAATTTGCTTGCGCTCGTTACGCTACGTATACGCAACGTTTGGCAAATTGTTGCCACACACACACACACACGCACACGCATACACACACACACACATACTAGCTGCACAGGTGGGTGATTCGTTTGGCGCTCTCATAAAAATTTATTCATATTTTAACTAATATTTATCAATATATGCAGCAGAAAGGAGTTAGCATTGGGGCGTTCTGCATATTTAGTGCTTATTATGGTAAAATTATTGTTTTCCCTTATAGGGCGCACATTTACATACGCAGCACTTACATATGTGTGCATGCATATATATATATTTATCAAAATGTATGTTAAACAACAGTCAACACAGAGCACATAAATTATTGTCTATGGCTTTTACTTGTATTTACCATCAGAAGGGTAGCGATATTTTAAGTTTAATAACTTATTATGCGTATACCTTAATAATTATTTACAAACACATTAAATGTGAATATTTCTTTATTTGCCTACACGAATAACTGCCAGAAATTGGCAAATGAAACCTTTTTAATCAAAAACAAAGCCAATTTATTCGTCTTCATTATATATTTAATATTCAATAAAAAATGATTAAAAGGGAAACAGACTTTTTAATATTATTATTATTTATCAACAAAACTCAACACGAATGGTCGCTTGTTTATTAATGTAAACAGCAATTCGTATTTAAATAAGTGAAAAATTATTGTGTATGAAAATATTTGGCTTTGTTTTTTTATTTGCACAATGTTCCTTTAAGTAAATTAAACTCAATGCAAGTAATTCTATTCCCAAATATGAATAGCTTTCAAATTTACAAATTGAATAAGACTTTCAAAACTTAAGGTAGAGTCTTGTGATTGATGATGCCATCTTGATGATACTATCGTTTCTTAAACACTTTATCATATTATATCAACCACATGGAATATACTATAGAAAATATAATTGCCTGTTTGATAATACCACATGGATTGAGCTAAGTATAAAAGATTTGCGGAAAATTGTTTCTCTGGTTTTCTAAAACGATTTCGTTCATTTTGAAAAATTTTGGATTTATTTCATTTTTTAAGTACTCTTTCAAAGTTTCCAGCTTCATATACGAGGCTTTAGACTGGCTTAGAGCAGATTTCTGACTTTGTTTCAGAGCTGTGAAAGACCCCGGCTCACTAATCTAAACTTAAGGCTTTGGCTAGAGCCATGAAATATTAAACCAAGACATTTTTTTGATTTTGCATCTATATTTATTATTTATTCATTGATTCACTAATTTGAGTTAGAGACAGCAAAATAGCTCCGCGTATCTGCAATACTGCAATTTATCGATTACTAGCTAAAGTATAAATCAGAGTTAACATTAGCTGAAAACAAACTGCCGCAGAGCAGTCGAAATCTATCGGCCTAATGAAAAAACAAGCTGTTAAATTCTATAGCTAAATTTAAAGTCTAGACTTCTACATCAAGAGCTCGAACAGGCTAAGAATTATAGTTGTAATTATTTCGATTTTGTATAACATATCCTAATGGAATGTAAAAAGTCAAATTGCAGTCCAGATTTTCACGATTCAATTGGAGCAGTATGCACACATAAATATGCACAGGATGAAATTCCAGAGAATGGGCTGATGAAGATTCTGACACATTGATGCTGTACAACAGATCTGCCTGCGGGATATCCGTGCGTCTGCTACTCACGACCATCATAGAATATCATGTTAAATTGGGTTTAATTTTCACTAATAGCTTCTTATATACTAAACTGAAACTCTTGTTATGTTTAACGCAATTTAACAAACTTCACTAAGCAACTTTTGAAACTCTTTCAATTTGCGAACTCCTTTGCCCAATTTAATGTAATGCATCAGTGCCTTAGGCCTTGTTAGGAACAGACTTTTGCATAAGCAGACGAATGCTGGCAGGCAGCTGGCAGACGCATTCGCATTATAATTTGCCGCTCGCACACACACACACACACACACACACACGTACACACACATACACACTCGCACACACACGTACACACAAAAGGTGTCAGAGGCCTTTTGTGCGCCTGTCTTCCGCCTGTCAATGACAACAGCCTAAAGTGTGCCAAAAAACCAGCCAAAGACTTTGTTAACTTCTTCCTCTTTCTGCTACCTCCTCCCACAGTCAGTCATGGAATTCGTTCAAGCCGCCCCTGGATGGGGTGGCAAAATTGTGTGAAAAATTCAAATCGCTTTGGCGCTGGCAGCTCTTTGGCTCAGTTGCCGTTTATGTCAGGCATAATTTAAGCCCGGTTAGGCTTCTGGACAACAATGCCGGCCACTGCTTGGTCCCGATTGGGGCCAGAAGCTAAGCTCTGGCCTGCCCCTTGACCCTGATGCCCAATCGATTTGCAGACCCAAGTACCACACTTGACTTGGCCGTCGCACGGGCATTTCCGAATTTTCACAGTGTGCACAGTGTGACAAACAACATAAATTGAGGGCTCAATCTGGTGTGCACTTATGAAGGTTAATTGCAAGCAATCAAATTTTGTAGTCGACGTGCAAATACCTTGCTAATTCCATTCAGAATGTGAATGAAGCATTCAGCGCATATTTAACAATTTCAATGAGGCAACAACATTTTTTCTTACAAAAGGTTCTGTTTAAAATAAAAATATATTTTAAGGTAACCTACGCTCCAAAGCATGCCAAGAGTTGACATGTAGCTTGATCCAAAATTTAAGTTCGCGTATGTGAAAAAACCCCGTTTACAAACCGAACCTAAAGCAAGTTAACTGGTTTGAACCGTCAATCTAACCAAAGCAAATGTGGAATTGTTCAAATAAAGTTATGACTAAATGATGTGAATATTTGACAGGTCTTTTAATTTTCTGATCAAGTGCGTAACATTTATATGTATAAATACTATAACAGAGTCCAATACATATTTTTATATATATTCCTTGGCCTTAATGAAAAAAAAAAACAAGATTTCTATATTACATTCAAATAATGAAATTGTGAGGGTATTTAAGAGTTAGTTCATTGCATTGTTGTACTTAAAAAAGCAAATCTATTTGTTATCAGTAACAGATAAGAAATGTCCAGTAATTGCGTTTATGCAAATGTGGAATTATGACATTAAAAATAGATCTGTATTTAACCATATGTTTATGCGAAGGGAATTTTAATTTTCTGATTGCAGAACAAAAAAGGAATTTGATTAAAAGAACAGATAATTAAAAGATGTGTCAATAAAAATCTGTCTGACATAGCATAATGAACATTTTAATTTAATTCTCTAATTTATGAGTTTATAGTTTTGTTTATGATAAGATATCTATATCTATACAACACTTAGATAATGAAAATGTAAGAGTATTTAAGTCTTCCACGCATTGTTCACGCAAAATTCGTATAAATACATTGCAGCTCAGTTCTGTTCTCGGTAGATCGCAACTTGCGAGATGAGGCGAGCTGTCATCCTTCTAGCATTCGTCTGTGCCTGGGCACCGCTCAGGTTGAATACTGCCGGACATCTTTGACCCTATCATATAGCGTGATGCTGGTGGACACACGGGCACAGGGGGGCAGGACGAAATGGGCACCTTTTGTGGTCATGGATCCTGTAATATCTTTAGATGCGATTGCGAAAATGGCTGCATTACAGCCAAATGGCAGGGAAGTTTCCGTGACATTAACAGACATTTAAAGCTTATAGTTACGGATGCCAGATGAAATACATAAGCTCCGGAAATCTTCTATCAAATTGTATTACCCTAGATTAATAGGTGAGCTAATTATTTATTTTAAATCAGTTAGCTCGTTAACTAGGTTGAATAAATAGTCGCTCTAAAACAAAGTGAAATGTTCATAATAATTAACAATAATTATGCAGCATGTGGCTTATAATTAGCGTAAGCTTTGATATGAAATGAAATGAAAACATTTTCTTGAACGCTATTCACAATTCTTGCAGCTGCTTTTCATGCTGCATGCAACCAGGTGGCACGCTTCTAAGTGCAGCACCATTTATTTCTCATTTCTTATAGAAACTAAAACAATTTGTTGTAGCTGCAATTCAAGGCAATTTTATTGCACTTTTTCCGGCAATTCATAAACATAAAGAGCATAATGTTTGAGCATGTTTCGTGTGTGTGCGGGTGTATGTGTGTGTCTAGGTGTGTGTGTGTGTGTGTGTGTGCACTTATCCTTTCACTTCATGCGCATAATGAAGAGCACTTTACGCTTATGAAAGCGAAGGCTAAAAAACGGGCAGCAAAATAAACAAATAACAAACAAATAGCAAAAAAAAAGGGAAACACATAATCAGAAGAAGGCAGAGTTCTTGCGAGAAAACCGAAGACTTAATACCCTAGCCAGAAGCTACCAGAAGTGCTCCATATTTGTGGAATACTTACTCATAGAATGGTATTTGCCAAAAAGCCGTACATTGAATACCCTTGCCGAGAGCTAACATGTGTGCTCCATATTTGAAGATATACAATTGAG